TCATAATTTTTGGTATAGTAGTTGTGACTTATTCACACTATATACATTTGGCTTCCGCGACACAGATAACCACATGAAATCATCCTACCTAATGTCAAATTTAACCTTAAAATTGCATTTAGACCAATAAATCATTTAGCAACCAATTAATAATAAATGCAAGTGAAACAGAGATCGACTACACTGAAAATGATCGATTATCAAACAGAATTGAAGCTTACCTTTATGAAATCGCACCCAACTTATTTCTAATTCGGTATTGGGAGTGTGAGAGAAACAGAGACTTTACCTGGTAAACAGAAAGAGCTAGAAAATGGGGAGGAAAACTAACCAAGGGATGGATTTAGGATTTAAGTAATACGAGTGCAATATACAAGGCTGTATTTTTATAATTATGGGTTAAAAACTACTACTACTATTTAATTTAATGTATCCGCCTTTGGAGGATCTATATTTTCGGTAATCCGACAGATAAATTTATATAGTTGGGTATAAAAGCTGAATGACAGAATAATTAGAAGAGAGAAGTGGAAATCCCAAACTCCTACATTCTATTGTATAGGCTAAAATAACGATAAATGCAAATAAAAATGAAATTTTGAATCAAATCATTGTTGCCAATTCTTTTGTTCTTTTCGCCTTTTCTTTTGAGAGCTAATTATAGGGATAATCATTTAACAACCCAACAAAATTTTTCGTTGTGCCCTTGTAAAGAAGAAATATTCAAACATTTCTAGTATAATACTTTTTGAGCTAGTATATTTGACTTAACCCTATGTTGGTTTGAATTAAATTAACTGATTATCACAACAATTAAATCAATTTAATAATCAATATCAATGTTCGGCCAAGGTACAAAAAATTATATTTAACATTTAACAGTACATACATGTTACTAGTACTTCAAATCGATCAAATAATTTAACATTTATAAAAACATTACTATATATTAGAACTAGGTATTGATAGCCCGTGCCAATAGGGGCCCAATGGCCTAGAAACTAAAACTCTCTGTTTTCACATAAAATTGCAGATATAAAAATTGACGCATGGAAATGACCACCAAATCGGATAAAGAGGACAGCATATATTAATTGTTGGATATTATTTACATACGTAAATGAACAAAATGTCGACTCTTGAATGTTGCGCGATTCCGCGGTTGTAAAGTGATACATTCTCTACCTCCATGAGGGTACTATTCCTATATTGTAGGCATATTTATTTTTTTGTTCTTATAATAACGGTATCGGGTGAATATCTATCGCTCCCAGTCCATCAAGCATCAAGCAGCATATGGAAGTTTGAAACTATGCGGCCTTCTTGCTACCTTTCTTTTATTTTGTACTTCTCTTTTTCCAAGTTGGCATCTTCCTATAAAGTTACAGTCTGTTAAGCTCTTGGCTTCTAGACATGCAAAATGTCTCTCATATTGTGAAAATAAGAAAATATGAACAGATGGAATCTTACTAAATCTTCATCATGATGCATTCTCACACTCTGATAAGCATCAGATTATATTTAATAATCTCAATTCAATGGTGATCAAATGGATAACAGTTTAGAAAGCAATATAAATAGTGTTACAGACTTACAGTAACTATATATTTAGGAAATAGTATACTCAATTTCTTTTTTCTTATTTTGGTCCTTCTCATAGCAGATTTTTCTATGTGCATTTGGCATAAAATTATCTTGCAGAGGTATAAAAGTGCAAAGAGCTAAATTCAGATCTCACATTTGCACACAAATAAACATCTAGATTGAAGAGAGATTCTCATTTAAAGCTCTGTCATCATTGATAAGTTTTCGGTTGTGGTCCTCACGGCCATTAAAAGATGTTAAAAACTGAGGGTCAATGTTTTATCTTGGTTATTTTCTCTGTTTCCCCTATGTTTTCTTTCAAAAATTGATCTTTACTAAAGGGAAAAAGGAAGAAGAAAAGCGGAAACTGGGCCAGCTAAATGCTACAAACTGATGCAGAAACAACTGAAGCCTCAAATAAAGTTAGATAAACGGGTATATTTACTTTTATGCATGTGTGGTTTTACTTTAAAACTCTCATCGCTCCGCTACCATTTTATATGTCCTCCAACCAAATGTGGCGACTAAGATCGTTACTTGTTGTAACATCCTCTTGAATCACTAAAAGAAAATACTTATTTTTCGTCGTTAGAGAGAATAAACAGATGCACAGATTCAGGCACACTATAACTCTACAATTTTCCATCTATTCACTCTGATTCTCTCTTTGGCTGCTCTCTTCATTTTTTTCTTGCTTCAGTACTTCCAGTGAGTTTTTAAATTCTTGTGGTTTTTGTTTTCTCCACTTTCTATGCTCAGAATTCTTTCATAAATTTTGTTTTTCCTATATTTGAATTATTTTCAGCTCCTTGAACAGTGTATATTTAATTACAGAGAGTACCAAAAGCTACAACAACGACGACATATCCAGTGAGGGAGGGTAGTGTATACACAGATATTACCTCTACCTAGTGAATGTAAAAAGGCTATTTCCTACTGATACCTGCAATGCAAATATGATTTGTTTAACACTAGAAATTAAAGCACTTGCAAACATATATAAATTGAGACGTCATTGTGTAATAAGTACGTTAAAATCATCATGTAAATTTCACATGATTAGTGTAAACACAATGTGCAAATGTGTGTGCAAGTATTTACTAACATTATCAACAACCTATGAGACACAACAGAGATATTAAGTTTTAGATTCACTTTCAACTAAATCAAAATTTGGGTAGAATTTTTTAAACAAAAGCCAGTTAAGAGTTTGGAATGTTTCTGAGTTTTTAACTTAATCATAATATGTCCACTTCCTCTTCTAAATGACATCGCAAATACGAAATAGCAAAGTAGAGGCGTATCATTAAATAATCAGAATTTGAAAATACATACCAAAATTTGCTAAAATGCTCTGAAGCCACATGGATTCAAGCTGTTCACATTAGAAGTCGGCAGGATCATCTAAACTAAATTAGAATATTTGCAGTAACTTCTCTAGCGAGAGGATCAAAACACAGTTATCAAGTGATCAACTGAACTTATACACCTAATCTGAAAAAATCATGAAGTTTTTTTATGATTCAAAATGGACAGCCTCAAATGACTGAGTTTATACACTATAACAATTAACAATCTATCGAAGTCATGCTAAAATGGCTAAAATTCTTCTTTCAAGTGTCTATTTAAAGAAAAAATTAGGAACTAATCTTGTATCATTTTTTTTTTTGGCAATCCGTTAGGCAAGCGCCTAGGGCTAGTTTTTTATTAACAAGAGAAAAGAAAAATACAACAATTAGGAAAAATACAAATAAGGGGGACAATAGCACCGGTATTGTTACCCATATGCCTTGGCTATATAATCACTCCTCTGCGCCTCACATTGCCTTATGATGGCAGCCTCATGTAGAGGATTCATGGGGTAGCTGCCGGCAAAGTCTCACGAGGGCATATAATCTCATAGCCGTGTGGATATTTTTCTAAAGGCATAGGACCAAGGCAAC